CTCTTCCAGTTGGTGAGTATTGTAAGAATTTTGGGGGGCAGATATAGTGACCTTTGGTCACTGATGTTTTAAGTATATCCTGGAAAGTCATCTGACCAAGACTAATTTTATTTTGGAGAAACTAGCCAGCCATAAAAGTACTATTTGTAGTTTCAGTGACAAGAAATCCAATTTAAACTCATTTTGTTCTTGTTACAAGAAAACCATGGTCAAGTTGATTTTAGAAGCAATCAAGATGTATATCTCTTTTCTCATTCTGTTATTACCTCTGTCTGTGCATCTTGCTTTCCCTGTGTGTTTCTTTGTCCTTGGGTATTCCTTTATGTGTGTTCCTTTTCATTTGTCTCTTTCACTGTGTCACTGCCTGTTTTTCTCTACACTTTTGTCACTATCTGCAACTGTTTTTCCTCTATTTTATTTTTGCATCTCTATTATCCACATTTCTCTTCTCTGCACATCTTATCTCTGTTCTCTCTGTGTGTCTGTCTCTATTGCATATTTCTAGAATGTCTACCAAAATTTTACAATTTTAGGAAAATTCTATTGACCAAAACTGAACAAAGTAATGCAACTTTACAAACAACATCTTGTATACAGGATGTAGACAGTCAGGATTGTGTCCATCTCCCCCTTAATTAGGAACAGGGACTGGATTTTCCAGATCCTTGTGATGTTAGAAATGACCTACCAGTGTAGAGATGTCTGTATCAGCCCCGTGGAGCACCCTAGCTGCCAGAGCCCCCTTACTGTGTTTCTAGTGGAACCCACAAAACAAATGACAGAGCTCCTTCTGGTTCTAGGGTTTCTTCTTAGAGGGGCTGAGTCATATGCAATCCATTCATTGTCTCTTTCCTGTTTACCTGATGCCCCTGCTGAGCTGAAGTTATTAGAAGCTAGAACTCCTCTAATCTGTGGACATTATGACCTTTATTCCTGATTATGTCCTCTACCTGGTTATTGGGGAAGTCACTATACCCTGTGACCTCCTCCATGTGGTTGCAGCCTTGGAAGCTGGTCTCCATCTCAGTCTCTAGGTTTTGTCATTTAGATTTCAGGAAGTTTATCTTTGAGGTTATGGAAGGTCATGTCTGAGGAACAGATAGGCATTCTCCTTCACTGACACACTGTGCCTGAGGAGCCTTTAGCAAGGCCTTCCTTCCCCTGGGTGAGGTCAGAGCAGAGATCCAGCACCTAGTGAATGTGTAGACAGACACTAACACTTGGGGTTCTACTCTCCAAGATCATGGTCTTATTCTATCCAGAGAAATATGTTGAGTGGAGTCAGAAGTTTTGTCATCTTCCTCAGAGCGATTGTTGCTACCTACAGGGATCAAAAAGGAGTGGCATTCTTGGGGAAATGGGAAAAACGTACAGGGTTGTTCAGAGAGTCCTCAGTCTCTATGGGTGGCTCTTTGCTTTTGACTTTCCAAAGGAAGGAAGAAGAGCTGAGAGTTGAGTCAAACTCAGAGCTTAGAGAGGCACTGAGATCTGTTTGTTCTAGTTGAAACAAAAGGGGAACAGAATGGGATTGTATTCTAGGGAATTCTTACAGTTCAACATTGTCACATCAAACACATTCTGAAAGATTTTTTATTGATTCTTTTTAGTTATACATAACATTAGGATCATTTTGACTTCGTTATAAAAGCATGGAATATAATTTGCTCTAATTAAGCTCCCCACCTTCCCACCCTGCCACTTCCCTCTTTCTTCCTCTCCTTTCTCTCTGTTTCCTTCCCTCTAATCTACTGATCTTCCTGCTTTTATAGTTTTTTTTAAATTAGTACCTTATTATGCTGAGGTTCACTGTGTATATTCATATATGTACATAGTAAAGTTAGGTTAGGTTTATTTTATTCCATTTTTCTTCCCTTATCCCCTTTCCCCTCAATCTCTTTCCTCTAGCTGAAAGATTCTTTTTAAATGCAATGGTCAAAGTCTTCCCTTTCTTCCAGTGACAGTTTCATAGAAACTACTTTGCCCAGATTTTATCAGGCAGTATAATCTTGAATTAATAATTTAATCAAAATATCAACAATATTATTTCTAAACAAGTTTGCTAACCTCCAAAACAATGGACCCAAACAAACCTTTTTTCCTTTATAATTTGATATGTCTCAGGTATTTGCTATAGTGACAGAAAACCGACTACCACACCTCTTCTAAATTCCACCAAGTTATACCTGTTTCCTAAATAATACTTTCTCATGTTATTTTTTCTTTATAAATTCTTCACTTTGTAATAATATGTTTGTGAAATAAACATGTATAATAGATGTACATGGAATATATGTTCTGTTAAGATAGCAAATATTTAAGTTACGTTATGATAATGAATGCATTTGTTTTTACATTATTTTAAAACAGAATGTAGTATGGTATATATTACAAAGTTGATACTCAATGACAATTTTTGCATTACTCATGAATTAGTGAATATATAAACAATGTTTTAGGCTCAGTTTATTCGGTAGTAAAGTTTTACTTCCCTTTCCTTTGCTATTATTCACTGCTGCATACATACTTAGGGTTATATTTATGAGAGATTCCTATAGTCTACTTAGTTTTTAGTTAAGAGAATTTCGAATAGAATTCTCTGCCTATGATTTTTTTGGCTTTCCTGGAATACTTTCTTTCTCAATCTTTTTATTTTTCAACTATATATGCGAGCTGGGAGAAGAGTACTATTTATCAACAGTTTGGCTTTTAACAATGATCAATTCATGGGAAATTTTAATCTTACATTCATATTGATTTAATTTGAAGATAATCTGAGATACAATGACTTTTTAGAAACATAACAGCAATGCCATTATCATAACTAAAATTAAATAAATAATTCCTGAATAGAGTCAGTGTCAATTTTTCTAACTGCCTCTTATGAATTTATTAAGTTGTTTGAATATAAGCCCAAACAGTCCAGCTTTTGGTTGATGTGTTTCTTCTGTTTTTTTTTTCTTCAAATGTTTAGTTTCTCTTTTCTCTATTTCTTTTTTGCAAATTATTTGCTAAAGAAACTAAGCTATTTATCTATTAGAACTTTCCACATTCTGGATTTTGTTGGCTGCATCTCTGGGTTTTCATTTATCATGGAATTTGTGATGGGCTCAAAAAAATAACAATAGCACCGATTGTTAGCATATATCAACTATTTACCATATGCCACTGTTTTAGTCAGCTTTATCACCACTGTGACTAAAGGACCCTACCAAAACAATTGTAGGGGAGGAAGAGGTTATTTGAGGGCTCATGGTTTCAGAGTTCTCATGTCCACATACAGCCAGCTCCATTTCTCAGGGCTCAAGGTCAGGGTGAACATCATGGTGGAAGGGTGGGGCAGAGGGAGCAGCTCACATGATAATCAGAAAGCAGAGAGAGTGGTCTCCACATGCCAGATACAAATATATATCCCAAAGCCACAATCCAATTTCCACCTTCTCCTTCCACACCCTACCACTTCAGTTACCAGTTAATACCTATCAGGGAATTAATTCACTGATTGGGTTAAGACTCTACAACACAATTTTTTTGCTCTGAGCCTTCTTGTGTTGTCTCACACATGAGCTTTTGGGGGACATTTCACATTCAAACCATAACAGTCACATTGTGTAGAAATGCTTTATTTGTAATTCAAAATTTAATTACTCAAGTACTTGATTTGTATGTAGCAAGTACAAATCTGAAATATTTTATGTGATTTTTCAATTATATAAAATTTAAATACTATGATATTAAATATTAATAAAATCATACTTTATGTGTGCAATATGAAATAAATTGAAGAGATCAAATAATTAAAATATTTTTATTAATACATTATAGTTGTGGGCTTCATTTTGACATATTCATCAATGCATATAATATAATTTGCTCCATTTCAATCCCTAGTACTATCCCATTCACCTCTCCTCCCTCTCCTGACCCCCTTTGTCTACTCAATTGGTCTTTCTTATATTAATTTATTTTTAGTAGTGAATTATGGGATATACATAAAAGTAGAATTCATTGTGATATCTTCATACATACACATAGCATAGTTTGGTAAATTTCATTCTGCAGTTCTTCCCCTTTCCCATCCCTCCACTCTCCCTATCAGTTTCCTTCCTTTACTCTCTCCCTTCTGTTTTCATGAGACCCCATAAATTTTTTGAGTTCTTATTTCTCTCTAGCTTCTGTAAGTGAAAGAAAATGTAAAACTTACACTGCACATTTGAATCCTCTAAATCATTAAAGGGCTGAGAAAAACAAAAGTACTTTTTCTATAATGTGATATATTCTTTTTAATACAATAATAATGGATATAATTACCTGTGCTTCCTTATGAATTTGTATTTTGTTTGTAAGATGCTACCTATATACCAAGAATATTTGAATTCTTTCAATAACTTTGCAAGAAAAGTGCTGTCATTCCCACATTATAGGTGAAAAAAAAAGTAAGGTTCAGAAATGTTAGATTATGACACTTATGACATTTTACTTAGTGTCATAAGGTTTGGAATATTAGCTATAAAGTTCTGAGACCTGAATTTAGATGCATCAAATGGTGGTGTATAAAGTATTGTGTTAATGTTTTGTATTTTTCCCAGTTATGTTTTAAGCTCACTGATACAGGTGGCATGGAAAGAATTTCCTCATAGATTTTGTAACAGTTCCATAATATGGAATCAGTAATCGAAGAGTGGAGAGGCTGAGGTAATATGCCTAAAACAATTTTCAAGAGCCAAATGTCTCTTGAGTCTATACCAAGGGCAAAAGGCATATATACCTTGTGCTGAATTGGAGACAGGTAGCAGTGGCCAAGGGGAAAAAAAAACAGTAGGAAGAAAGACATTTTAACCTGAATTTTATGAGGATATGTTTGGTTGTTTCAGTGTTGCTGGGCATGAAACATTGATCTTAGAAATAAGATTATAGGGCCTGAAACAGAAGGATCTCTCATTCTTAGCCATGGTCCCAGTGAGCCCATAGATAAAAGACAGAAAAAAAAAAAACTCAGTAAAGACTATATAAAAGGAAATTTATTGTTTCCATGGAGATATTGAATCAGGGCCACTGAGGGATTCAGAAGATGGGTGAATTATTCCAGGGATTCTATCGTAGGTAACATTTGAAAAAAGAATAAGAAAGGAGATTAGAAGGAGAATTCCAAGGGTATCTGAGCTCTGAGGGTATACAGCACCTTAGGTCCCAGAGAAGAGGTGAAAGGAGGGACATTTGAAGAAGAGAAAGAATACGATGAACTAGGCTAAAAATAGACTAGATCATGTTGCACATCTATTCTTCTGCTCCTAGAGATGGGCAGTGTACCTGAAAAAAACACACAAGATCAATGGACTCTAAGGGCTCCTACTGTACTATCATCATGCTACTCCATAGTTCTAAAATGTTTCAACCACATCTGTGCCAATAATCTCTACTTCCTTTCCTTCCCCCTGTAAGGAGGCTTCAGCTCTGCCAAATATGAACCCTTACCTTCCCTTGTAGGTGTGACTCACAAGGACTCTGGTTGTCTGGGGGTACCACCTGAGCGAAGGCCTTGAAAGATGAAGATCGTCCCCACAATGATGCCCACAAGGCCCACGGCCAACCCCAGGGCACAGACCACAGTCTCTGTCAGCTCTGACACAGGAGTTGGAATCTCAGGTTCTGTGAAAGTGAAGTTGTTGAGGTCAGAATACAGAGTATGTCCATGTACAAGTGTGAGATGGGATTGATTCTCTAGACTTGGAGTACTAGGCTAAGGGAGGAGAATGAACTCTATCATTAGAAATCCTTAAGAGGGAAAAACAAGTTTGGGGCATTAGGAGTCAAAGGGAAGGATGCTCTGGACTTGACAGAGAACAAGAAGGCACCGAAAGGAGTGGAATTTATACATACCCCAGTGTTTCAGAAGTGGTTTGTCCAGTCCCCAGTGCTCCACTTGGCAGTCATAAACATCATCACCAGAAGGGAGGAAGGTGAGGTAAGCAATCTTGAGGAAGGAATGATCACTCTTGGAGAGAAAGCTGGTCTCAGAGACACCTTCTGTGACCAAGTGCCCATTGCTCAACCATGTGATGTTGATCACAGGAGGAAAGATGTTGTCAACAAGACAGATGAGTGTGTTGGGCCTACCCAGCATCACAGGTGATTTGGGAAACACAGTCACATCAGGAACCTCTGTGGTAAGAAAACAGTCCTGATATGAATGGCGAATGTGAATTGCTCTACCCTGAAATTCTGCATTGTACCCTGGAGGAGCCCTCCTGACAACATTTGCCCACATGATCATCAGAGAGTCCTTATCCTCCTTATGCCTTCAATTTATTCCTAAACCCTTCTCTCTGTAAATTAAGATATTGCATGCATATTAAAAAGGAGAACACCTGCTTTCTTCCACAATAAAAGTGGAAGCTTTATTAGTTTTTGGATTTCTGTCATTTCCCCACTCCTCTTTTTTTTTCCTTGAAGGTTTCTTTCTTCTGAGTCAACACATATTCACTTGCAGACTTAGGACAAATTAAAGTCCTTTTTCTCAAACAGAGAGCATGTATGTCTGTGGGACTCCTCCTTGAAAGTTTCAAGGATCTTTGTATAACATGGAAATAAGTTATCTGTAAGATGAGAGAGGATGTGAGTTCATTAATTACCCCAAGAAGATCTAGGGACTCCTTGGAAAGGAGAGAGTTTTATAGATAGATGTCTGGCATCAGGGAGGAAGGATATGAGGCTTGGGATGATGGGATTGATTCAATAAAGAAGCAAATTGGTGAACACATACTGTTGGGAGCCTCAGAAGAATTTGAGCATTTAATCAGGATGTCCAAGTTGTGTCTTAATATATTTATGTTTTGCAGTGCACGCTGTGGGTCAAATTTTCTCATTTGGCTAAATATAGGAAGGGTCCAGACAGTCTGCTTCTTTTGCAGGTCCACATAGAATTCCTCATCTCCGTCAAACTCATGGGTATACTGGCCAGAGGGACCATAAGACTGGTAGAGGTTTATTCCATAGTTGGCAACATGATCAGCTGATGAGTATAGGTGAACAGCAGAAAGGTAGGAAAAGGGGGGAGAAAAAGAACTTTATTAACAAACCAACCAATCAACATATGAAACTCTGACTTTTCAAAATACTGTGGAAATACTTTGAAAATATGAAATACTTTTCATTTTTGCTATAACTGCTAGACACAATTCCTATTGCCTGCTTCCTTACCTTATAGTGTTGGTAGTTGTGTGGTTACGATGCAGTCTTTTTCCTTATGATATGTATTCCTTGAGGACATAATGTTACATGCCTCATTTTTGCTAGTCCCTGAGTGCCTTACTTGGTGTCTGGTATATTATAGTCTAAAGATAAACAATGTATTCAAATGTCAGAAGGAATGAATATATTTTTATGATATTTAACTTTCTTCTCAAAGATGCCATTTATTTCCCTCTGGTACACAAGTTTTATCTCTCACTTAATTTTTTCACTATTTAAATAATGAATCTGTTATATTTACTTTATCCCTTGGAACTGGCTCAGAACAGGACACTTACAACACAGTGATCTTTTTTTAAAGGAAAAGCACATCATATAGAATCATATTACTTTAAGAGTTTCTTCTAACTCTTACTGGGCATAAGAAAGAGTATAAGAAGAATAGGACAAAATATCTTAAAAAATGATGAATCTAAAGTCTCTGTTGTGCTAACAGTAGTAATCTTTAGAAGAAGAGCACCTACTTTCTTATGGAGTAAGAAATGGAAGCTTTATTAGTTTTTGAATTTCTGTCATTACTGACTTCTCTTTTTTTCCTTGAAGGAGATCAATAAAGCACTCTCCTCACCCTTGTCAACACATATTCAGTTAGACTTTTTCCTCAAACAGACAGCATAGTGTACATGTCTGAGGATGCCAAAACAGAATGGCAGCCTGCACAGTATGATTCTATTCAGACGAACCTAACTGGACATTTTTATCCAGATGTATACAAGTCTTTTAGTATTTCATCTTTCCTTCCTTCCTCATTTACAATTGTCAAACATTGTGCAGGGTCGGGGGACAAAGAGTAAAAAGTCAGTTAGGCATGGTCTTTGCCCACAAGAGGGTCTCATGAGGTAAGTAAAGGAGCAAATGCAATGTACTGTGGTTAATTTTGTATAAGGAAATAGATAGCTTATAGTCCAACAACCTGTACAGATATCTGCCAATCAAACCAAACTGTACCATCCTTTCCTGTTCCCTGTATTTTGTTTTCAGATTTCCTGGAGAACTCTACTTCATTCTGAAAGTTTCTGTTTAGTTACCAACTTTTTAGTTAAGTCTTCTCATCAACATTCAACTCTTCTGTCTCCATATTCTGCTCTCCAAGTTTGTCTGTTCCTCTTCTGGCTCTCTCTTTCCTCTGACCAACATGTCTGCCTTGGTTGATCATTAACAGGACCCTCCCCAACACAACAAATCTTCCTTATTCTTGCAATAAATGGTCTTGACTTCTTTTTCAAATACAAAAGCTGCAATCATTCATTTTAGCTGACCTGGGCTGCGAGTGTTGGCTGGAGATCATTTTGTTGCTGTAACAACTAGATCTACATAATTTTTATAGCTTCAGCCTCTGCTGTGCCCACTGTCCTGCACAGCAATGGTCCTTCTGCTTTCCTGTACCTGCTTCTGTTTCCATTAGTAGTCTTTGTATCCTCTAGGAAGCAGATAAAATATTGGAGTCCCCAAAACTTAGCTTATTGTGTGATTAAAATGTATATTAAATGAAAATTGCTATTTTTGAGTACCAGAGACTTTGGGGAAGATTGACAGGTTACCTAGGTAGCAGAACCAAGATCAGTGATGACTGGGGCTGCATTAATGACTTATGGGCTCATAAATTTATTGTTTTTGTTGGCCCCTTCCTCCATAAAAATATTGAAACTTACATTTTATATATAAAGACAAATATACTATAGATTGGGTCAAAATTAAAATGGTTTCTTAGACTTTAAAACTTCATTTTTTCTTCTAATTTCAAAAGAAATCAAAACATTTTCATGCAGCCCTGTGGTATCATTGGCCCTCCACACTACACCCACTGTGTCTGATGGATAAGGTGAGCCTGACCAGGGCACTCTTATTTCATGCTGAAGAAAGAAAAATTGAAATGAAGATGCCAAGTGCCTTGGAGAGGCAGGTGAAATTTTTAACTCCAAACAAAATTAGAATGGGAGCAGCCAAGATTGATAAAGTTTCCTAATCTCTTTCACTTCCCATTTTAAATATTTGACTTTTCAACTGGTATTTTTATAAATCTGCTGTTCATGTCTATAAAACAACAGGGATCTGGAATAAGTTCTGAAAGAATAATAAAGGGTTATATGAAGACAGAATGGGTAAGGTGAACAACACCCATGGGTCTATGGAACCCAATGATATCTGCTTGCCAATGTTCCTTTTATAGAACCTCATTAGAGTGAATAAAGAACAGGTAACTTGAGGGATAATTTGAGAATTAAATAAGCCAAAAGTTTTTCATCATAAAGTTCTCAATTTTTCAATTTTTTACTTTGTTAAATAAAAAGTATAAAGTTATACCTGTAATGGGAACAAGAGGGAAAAAGTTGACATATGTGGGTTTTCATTATTTATAAAGCACATCTACATACATATTTTATTTGAATATTTGTGAGACAATGAATATGAGGTAACCAAGTTTAAGGTGGACCATGTGGTAAAATGATGGTCTCTGGACACTCAACCTGCTGGGCTCTTTTTTCTCACTTCCCACATATGCCTATGCCACCTGCCAGCATGGATATGTGTGCACATCTGAGACAAAAGGAGATCTTTCTGTATATCTATGTAGCATGCATAACTCATGGAGCTGTTTTCCCCAGATATATTACAGGAGACAAATAGGAAAAACTTCAAAAGTTTTTCAGAGAAATTTGAGAATAGTAGTTCATAATTTTTTAGTAATCAATAGTTGTCCACTCATGAAAACATCCCTAATCTTTGAGACAACAATGATGGAACATCACAGAGACCTCCACATTACATTCCTGGATCCAATATTAGAAATGGATCATATGCTTGGTTAATTCTACAGAGGACAGATAGCTAAGAGAATAGATTGGGCTGAGACGAAACTTGGGAAATCTCTACTCAACCCATCTTCATCTCCTTCCCCTTCAATTCCCTATTTTCCATCTCCAGGGAAGATTCCTTAATTGTGCACTCACCCACAATGTCTTCACTTGCACAGGGGCTCATCATGGTGGTCAGAGCAACAGCCCACAGGATTAGAGCTCTGTTTAGGATCATCCTCTTTCCAAAGTGATCTCAAAAGCTACTGTTCTGAGTTGCAAAGCAATTGTGAGGACTGAACCAAGGAAATCTAGACACTTAAACCAAACCCCACCAGATCAGATTTTAGCCAATCAGAAAAATCCCTGATGATGATGCCTCAGTTGCCAGTGCAGAGATCATAGTAACAGGCCTGGAAGCAGAGAGGGGAATCCCCTGGTTCTGATGCAGCCTCCACTCAGTGGGTGTGAGGGAATGCTTTGTGAATGGACAGAGGATTCTAAATCAAACTCCTCTCTTTTGTATATGTCTGCAAGTCACAAGGCGGATGGGAATTGTAGAGCAGTCTTATGAATAGATGAAGTCACCAATAATATAGCTTAGGGCTGGGGTGGTGGCACATGCCTATAATCCCAGCTACTTGGGAGGCTGAGGCAGGAGGACTGTGAGTTCAAAGCCAACCTCAGCAAATTATTGAGGCCTTAAGTAACTCAGTGAAACCCTGACTCTAAATAAAATACACAAAGGGCTGGGGATGTGGTTCAGTGGGTAGGTGCCCCTGGGTCCAATCCCTGGTACCATGAAAAAAACAAAACAAAACAAAAAAACAGTTTATTTCAGGATTTTCTGGGTTACAACCTCCAGGAATTCTTCTCTAAATTGATTTCCCCTCCTGGGTACCTCCTCACCCGAATCCCCACTCATAGTTCTCTGGTTTCCTTACCTGTTTTGTTTTTTTTTAAGCTCTCTTGGTGTGTATGGAAGTCTCTAAATCTTGAGTTGACCCACCTACCTAGGGGATCTCTTCTGAAGGTAACCAAACAATGCCTTTGCCTTTTCTACTCATATAAACCCAGCTAGGTAAGGTTTTCCCTTGCTATTAAAGGCTTCAGGTGTTTTTACTTAGAGATATAAAAGGGGATTTAAATGTTGTGTTGCCCATAGTTACTATATGATCTTTTACCCAGATCAGATTTTTTTGTTCCCTTGTATAATCTTTATTCCCTATGTTTTGGTGCTGCCTGACTACATTTAGTCAGAAAATTCAGGGATTTTTTTTTTAAAGAGTTTCTTTAAAAAAAAAACAACTGAACTTTAGTTTTAAAAAGGATAGACTTTCTTTTTTTATTTGTTTTAAATATTTACACATGACAGTACAATGATCTTGACATATCATACATTTGAATCAGATGGGGTATAATTTCTCATTTTTCTGAGTGTACAGGTTGCAGAATCACATTGGTCATACAGTCACATATATACATATAGCAATAATAATGTCTATTTTACTCTGCTGTCCTTCCTTTCCCCCCTTCCACTCCCCTCCCCTCCCCTCCCCTCCCATCACTTCTCTCTACCCAATCGAGTTTTCTTTTTTTAATATTTTATTTTTTAGTTATAGTTGGACACAATACCTTTTATTTTGTTTATTTATTTTTATGTGGTTCAGAGGATTAAATCCAGGGATTCACACATGCTAGGTGAGTGCTCTACTGCTGAGCTGTTAGACCAGGACGCAAGAAAAGACCACTGACTCCAATTAAAATCAAATTAAAGCAAGCTTATTATTTCGACCGGCC